CCACTGATGAAGCCCATGGTACTGACCAGGCTGTTGGCAGGTGAGTTTGAGCTCTTTTTCCCTTTTGTCAGGAAAAACAAAAACAAAAACAAAAACCTCCCCATATGACCCTGGGCAAGTTCTTTTCCTTCCCAGGATGTCAATTTCACCAATTGCAATATGAGACTGATCTCAGAGTCCCCTTACAAATCTGACATCTTAGGAGTTTGCAGATGGCAGGCAATGAAGATCAAACTCTTCCAATGTAGGAGTGAATTTTTCTCTGTAATGGCAGAAATCCGCTAAGAGGGGGGCTTAAATTAAAAGGTATTGTATTAGTTCACAAAGGAGGAAGCCTGGGGATTGTGGACTGCAGGCAGGGCTGGATCCAGGTGCTCCAGAAATGTTGTCAGTTCTTTCTTTATCTCATCTCTAAGCTCAGATTTCTTCTGTGTTGCCTTCATCCTCAGCTTAGAAACAGTTTCCTGTGATAGGATGATGAGCCTTATTAAGCACAACAAAGAACATTCTAGAGCTATTACTCCAAAAGAGAGTGGTATCCTTTTGCATCTTCTCAAAGCATCATCCCAGGCAAGGTGTCAGTTGGCCTTACTGAAATCACCTGCCTATCCCTGTGAGTGGTAGGATAGGGTGGGGTACTGTGACTGGTACTCCCACTGAGGATGACACAAAGCAGAAAAGTCTTCCTGTCTTCCTTAAAGGAAAGGACCCTAGATGAGAGAACTTAAATGAGTTGTGCAAGTCTGAAATAACAGCGACCACAGGCCACTCCAAAGGCCTTTAAGCACAGAGCGAGGAAGAGGGACTTTCTCAATCAATAAGGTATTTATTCACTTAGCCCTGCTTGGAGCTGGAGTGTGTAGGGGTAAGAATCATGAGCAAATGATCTTAGCTGTGAGAAGCAGGAAGAATCCTGCACACCATGTAACTGTGGTGCCCAGGGCTAGCCACTGCAGCTTGGCTGTAAAGGCCATGAGGGAATCAGGGAGGCTTGTGAGAAGCCCTTAGTGGCTGCAAGAAGGACAAGGGCGGAGGTGTGAAGCTGCACATTTGGACCTGAAATGTGGAGAGGAAAAGTCAAGGCCAGATGTCGCATGCGAGGTAACAGTGTAGCTGAATTAAGCAGGGCTGAGGAAAAATGATTTCAACTATGGCAAAATAAAAAATGAAAAAGAGTAACACTGGGAAAAACTGGAACAAAATATAGGTTAATGTATATTTGTCTTGAGATGGGAATGAATTTTTAAGCATTAAGCAAGGAAAAAAAATCAGATCAAAAACAAAAATCCTTGCCATATATGACATAAAAAAGTCAAGTATACATTTCTAAACATCATAAAACTAAAAGGCAAATGGCAACACTGGAGGAAATATTTATAATATGAAGATATTTATAAGATGAATGCTTACTTTAAAAAACACATAGACTCCAAGCTCCCACCCCCCAAAATGGGTAAATGACATGAAAAGACAATTTCCAGAGGGAAATCAACAATGGTATAACCTTCTTCATTCAAAAGGTACCCTAAGATCTTCCCTTATCCACACAGCCTGTTCCCCAGCTACCAGCCACTCGACTTGGAATACAGTTGTTTCGCTTACTGATCCACAGAGAAGGCAAGGCCTGTGTAGAGGATGCGGGTCATTAGATCAGCCTCTTTGAGGGCTTGCATCTACCAAGATCTTTCTCTAAAGCCTTCTGCAAGACTCAACAGCAGCTCTGGTAGGACAGGGACAGAGAAGATGAAAGAAGCCTCCGCTCAAGTGCATTCCAGCCTGGGGAGCCCCTCAATGGACCCTGAGGCCCACAGGAGGGAAGGCAGAGGTAGAGGGAAGGCAGTAGTAGTTGGATGTTGTCCCCCTTCTCCTGTCTAGAAGCTTCCCATGGCCAGGTCAGTCCAATTTACCCACAGATATGGATAGAGTCTGGGTCAAAACGTGAACAAGCTGTCAAGAGGCTGAGGGTCTGCCTGCCACCCCTGCAAGTGACTGACATTGGCAGTTGTCAGGCTGACAGCCTGAGATCCACTGGCAATTATCACATATTTTATAACTGTCCTTATTTAGGACTGCCATACTATGGCAAGGGTGGAGTTGGACATACATTCTGGCTCTGAGAGGAAGTCCTTTCACTCTCTGGCCCATGACTCTCTTGTCTGTATGAAAACAAGATCCTTCCTGAAGAGCTCATGCTCCAGATTGAATACAGCAACTAAAGGACCCTACATAGTGGCCAAAGGTGAGGAGAGGGTCCCCAAAATGTTAGCTCCCACTATGATATGAAACCCTATGTGGAAGTGGATGTGTGATTCTTCAGCTGCTCCTCACACTTGTTTTCAAGATACAATTCATCTGTTAGCATCCCCTTAGAAGTCAATCCACACCTGAGCCACATAAACATTCAAAGTAGAAAGGAAATGCAGAAATCTAGGGCAAGAACTAAGAAGCTGGACAAAGAACCAAGAAAAAAAGGGACCTATACTGGACATTGGATGGTCCCACAGAGAAACTGTGATTTTACCTTCCTCCCACCAAGTAATTTAACAGACAGCTGCTGTCTGGAGGAATCAGTGAGTCAACACAGAGGGAGCACTAGATCCAGGATAGACAGTAGGGCTGACTGGCAGAGCAGGGAGTGGAACACAGACTCAAGACAATAAGCACAACCCAACCCCAGCAGCAAGCTGCTGGCTTTATTTCTGGCTTATTCCTCATTGCAGTAAGAAGGCCAGCCCTCAGAAGGTGCCCAGGCTGAGGGAGAACGAACTAGAACCTGAGACTGTGGATATTGTGGAGGAAGAAAGGTCTAGACAGGTTTAATGAAAACGAGGTCTGTATGGGTGAGATACAGGATCTGAGGCACGAAGTGGTGTGGTGTTCAGCAGGGGATTGAGAGAAAAGTGGTCTGCAGAATTGCAGGATCACACAGGCTCCAAGGATTCCTGAGCTGTTCAGGTGAGCAATCCCATTCTGTTCTGCTTTATATTTGGCAAATATGACTCAGTGTTGGCTTTGACCAGGCATTCAGAACTCTCATTTCAGCTGGGGATGGTATCTTGGTCAAGCCAAAGTCTGATTAGCTGGACAGACCAGCATGTCATGATGCCCCGGGAATATTAAATAATATTTACAGAGAATGACGTTGGGGAAGTAATTACTGATAGTAAGAGGCAATCAGCAGCAGGGAACTTCTCCACTGCTCAAGTGATGAGAAATTAGATGGAACTAGGCTCACAGCAATAAGGGTTTGTCAAAGGTAGAGTGGAAGGGGCTAGAAAGTCACTGCTTCTGCTGATTCTGTTAATAGGATAAACCAGCCTTGCAAATAAGAGCCAGACCCCAGGAGGCCTGCATTTGACGTGATTCTAAAATCAGGCCATGTCCTGCCAATAGCTTCACTTTCAGAGGCATTAAAACTGGAAGAGCTTAGAGATCAGTCACACCAATGATTCTGTTTCAAAGGCTCCTGTCTTCCAAAAATACTGCAAGTATTAAGTAATAATTAATTTTTTCACATTTTTAATTCATCAAAGACACACAGAGGACTGCCAAGTGGGGCATGCAGAAGACCTAAAGTTGACACCACTTTGGTCCCATATTATTTTGCATAAATATAGCAGTGGTGGTGAACCTTTAGAACTTCCAGTAATACAGCCTGCTGCAGCACATGTCACAGGTTCACCACCACTGAAATATAGTTTCCTTTAAGAAGAATTAAACACAAGGATCAAAGTTTTTTTTGGAGGGGGTTTTTTGAGACAGGATCTCACTATATAATTCAGGCAGACCTTGAACTTGCAGTGATCCTGCCTCAGCCTCCCAAGTCCTGAGATTACAGGCATGTGCCACTATGCTCAGCTCTAAGGTTCAAGTTTTAAACATCTGCGAACCTTGAAAACTCCCATCTCAGAAAACTTGAATTCACGCCGTTTTTTCTACATAAGGAGAACACAGGCGGCTTGCCCAAGCCACACAACTGGCTGTCAGTAGAGTCCAGGCTAGACTTGAGAAGCTGGGTGGAGAGGACAGCACAAGAATAAACTATAGCTGTGAATGCAGTGGCACAGTGTACCATCGACACCAGGGAACAGGGCTTGATTCTCATTTTCAATACTTACTAGCTGTTTCACCCTGGAAAAATAATTTAAGCTAGATTTACCCACATACCACTGCAAGGATGAAATAACAAAACAGAGCACTTAGTTAATAGTAGCCACTTTGGCAGGGGGTAACTGGAAATTGAACTCAGGACCTTGCACTTGCCAGGCAGATGCTTATGCCTCCTGAGCTATATGCCTGGCCACTATTATTTAGCCTGTTTCACTATGTGTGTGTATGTGTATGTCAGGGGGTGGTGTCTGGGCTAACCTAGAAACATTGACACGCGTGAGGAATAAGGTCATATGATCCAACTTCCAAGTGCTATCTTGACAATGTTAGGAGACAAACTGTTTCAACAGGGCTCTAGGTACTAAGCACAATGCTGTTAGTACTCAAAAATGTCACTCAGAACTGAGTGTGCCTCAGAACCAAAGCCACATCCAGACTTACTACCTTTGAAATGCTGAAAGGTGCAATGAGAACCTGTGCTTCCAGAAACTGAGATGCATCATTTTATACATCATTTATACACCATTTTAAAGTATGCACTTTCTGTGGTTAACATCCTATATTCCCAAGGTTGTTTGAACCACTACTGTCTAATTCCAGGAAATTTTCAAAAGAAACCCAGGATCCATTAGCAGTCACTTCCCATTTCCTTTTCTCATGGTCTGACAACCACTAAGCCACTTTCCATCTCTATGGACTTGGGCACTCAGGCGTCCCGTGTGAGTGGCGGTAGCCTCTGTCTAGACTCCTCACTTAGCATGCCACATTCAACGTTCATCCATGTGGTCACATGTATCGGGACCTCATTCCTTAGAGTCTGCACTTTTAACAAGCTCCCCAGGTAGCTCTCACAAGTGGGCTTTGGGCAAGAAAACAACAGTAAATTCATACAAGGTGAAACTTCAAGTTTATTATAAAGTTACAGGGTGTGCCTGTCTCTAATCCCTACAGGGAACAGGCAATACTGGCTGCTTGTCTCCTCCAGAGACTGCAGGGCTAGGCAGGGTCTCCTAGGTGCTCTGCAGGTCAGGTCATGCACCGATGCATGACCTGGCTTCGAAAACTAAGTGGCCTGGCTCAGAAAACTGGGGATAGTAACTACAAGAGTCTCAATTCAAAGACTTTAATGTACATTATGCTCTTGGAAAAACATCTCCGAGGAAACAAGAGAAACCAAAGTCTTAACCAGCAGGGATTCTTACTCAGAAACCTGCTGTGAGCCCCGGCTTTAGGAGACAATGGCACCAGGACTTAAAAGAGTACAACAGATAATCTGAAGTCAGCATGGAGGGCATGTGTGTCCATCTAGAGATGGAACTCTGCCCATACAGCACAACAGGCATACCCTCAAGACTCCCAGGAAAGCGGAAGCATCATCATTGTGATGACAGACAGTTCCACAGGAGGGCTGGGAAGATCCAGGTTGACCAGGTCATTTCCAGGGCTCAGAAGGCACAAACTTCAATAGGGTCTAAAAAGCCTGTGTGGGACAAGAACTCTTCTTTTCATTGTTGTATCTCCAGGTCACCAGAAACAGTCATGGTAGCTTGTTAGGAATCCGGGTATGTAGCGGGGTGTCAAGTCCCTTTGTGCCTAAGGCTTTGGAATGCAACAGATGGTAAGTGAAAGCACCAGGATCCCCGAGGCCAAGGGCCACTCCAGTTTTGGGAAATTAAGCCTCTGGACAGAACGAAATTTAGGTAGAGAAAGCCAAAGCTGACCCAATCCAACTATCTGAGCCCACTTTCCAGTCCCGAATTATTACCAAGTTTTTTGTTACATACTCCCATTTAACCAGGGACAGGTACAAATTGCAGCTAATTTCTCCTATGAACGTATATTTAACTTCAAAAAATCATCCACTGGTATCTCAGACTCCCAAGGCAATCCAGAGTTTCTTGTTTTCTAATCATCCTATAGAACAAGAAATCATTTCTCGTGAACTTTTAAGTTCTTCTCATCAGGAATGATGATGCTACTACTGAGGCAGGTCTCTCCCAGGAGCTTCTGTAAGAGTTTGACATAGAACCCACAAATGTGCTTTTAGGATGGCTACAGCCTCTTTTACAATAAAGAAATTTATTTACTGGTGAAGGAGGTGAAAGGAATTTATTTACTGGTGAATTCTAGCTCTATCTTTAAAGAACCTGGCAGGATTGCTGCCTTGGAGGGTCCCAAGATAGGTAACGTGAATGGAAAGGTCATGACTGCTTTTGTGTGGCAAGGGCCCTCTCACAGATCCTGTGTTTGCAGAGTTAGCCAATCTCGATGCCCTCGGGGAGCTCCACCACCACTGGGGCACAGTCCTCAGGCTCTGAGGCAAAGTCCCACCGAAACTTCTTGGTCAGATGAGCTTGGAACTTTTCAGCTTTCTTCCTCAGGGTGGGATCCACAGCAATGCTGCAGGCTGAAGAAAAGAAAACCTACAGAAAACAAAGGGTAAGTCACTCCTGAAAACACATGGACCAAGAAAGTGGTGGAAATTTCCTCCTGCTGTTCAGCTCTCTGGGGCAGTCCATTAGCTACTGTTGGCACAGGCCCAGGACACCTACCATGCCCCGCACCACCTCAGGAAAGAAGGTCCAAACCTAGCTGTGATACTGGAACTAGAATAGAATGGAAAACTATTATGGTTGACAGAGATAGCCCATGGAGACTATGGCCAGTAGGGCCACCACCACTGTCTTAACTCCTTGGGGGTAGGGGAGGTTCTATGAAGCACCTGGACAACAACTAGCAATTATACTAGTTGTTATTAAGGAAGGCTTGGAAACATATTCATCCTCTGATCTCATAAATTCTAGGCCCTTGGTTAATAAGGTTGAACTGCTGTTCTAATCTAAATTGGTTAGGGACCATCAATTTGAGGCTTCTATCTGCCTTAAAAGCTGTCTTTGATGTTCATTTAAAAAAATATTATTATTGTATAAATTGTGGTAAGACACATATACTTACTATTCAAACTATGTTTTTCTAAATTTCTTATTTTTTTGTTTTTGCGGTACCGGGGATTGAACTCATGACCTCATGCTTTCTAGGCAAGTGCTTATGTCGCTGAGCTAAATCCCTGGCCCTCTAAATTTCTTTTTAAATATATACACACTATTCTGCACTGCCACCATCCATCCATCCACAGAACTTTTTCATCTTTCCCAACTGATTGGGAACTCTGTAAACACTAATTCCCCACTACTTCTTCTCCAGCCCCTGGTAACCACTTTCTGATTTTCAGTACCTATGAACCTGACTACACTAGAGATCTCATATAACATTTATTCTTTGGTGCCTGGCTTATTTTACTTAGCATACAGTCTTCAAGGTTCACCTATATTGCAGCATGTATCAGAATTTCATTCTTTTCGAAACTGAGTAATACTCCACTGTATGAATGTATCACATTTTATTTGTCTTTTCATCCCATAGTGGTCACTTAGATTGTTTCTACATTTCAGGTATAGTGAATAAAGTTGCCTTGGATATGGCTGTACAAAGACAGTTTGTTTGAGTCCCTATTTTCATTTCTTTTTGTATAGACCTAGGATAGAACTACTGGTAAGTCCATATAGTTTTTTGAAGAACTGCCATACTTTTCCACAGCAACTGTTCTATTTCACATTCCCACCAGCAGGGCCCCAGAATTTCTTGGCTGACACTGTTTATTTTCTGCTTTTTTTTTTAATAGCCACCTGCTCTAGTGGATATGAGGTGATAGCTCAATGTAGTTTTGATTTGCATTTCTTTAATGATCAGTGAGGATCTTTTTTGCATATTGATCATTTGTAAACTATAAATTTCTTTGCTAAAATACAGTTTCCTTTGACTATTTAAAAAATTAGGTTGTTCTATTGTTGAGTTGCATTTACAGATTCTAAACATTCATCTCTTATTTTGATGTTCTCATGAATTATTTTATATAACACAAACATAGGCAGGGGGGCAACAATTTTCTCCACATAGCTCATTCCAAATTGTTCTGAACCTCAGTTCTTTCTAAAAACAACAGCAAACCCATTACTTCTTACACTATCTTACTGGTCTCAAAGAAGCTTCAGTATATCCAACTGAATCCTTACCTTATCCTGGCAAGATATATTAGAATGTGTATTTTAAGGACAAGGAGGCTGAGAAGTATGAAATGGTTGGATCAAAAGCAACCCAAAGGAAAAAAAATGATCTTTCCCATACTGCTGCCTGCTGCCCCACAGGACCCCACAGGCACAGACATGAGGACGGAAGCAGCAGCTCTTTGACCTACATTACCCTTATGCCACTGCTGACCTGCAGATCACCATGGAAGAACTCTGGGTTCCAGATCTAATTTGATAAAAGTAACAGGTATCCTCTACAGCTGCTTTGAAGCACGATGTGCCCCTCCTTCCACTTCTCTACAGTCTTTATGTTAGAGGCACCAAATAACTGACCAATAAATATGTGATGGTACTAGTAACAAAAGGCTCATCCTGTGGAAGTGGCTTGTGTAAAGGCCCAAGCTGAAATGAACTGTTCGGATCTCTGTTCCCCTAGCACTGTCCCCAAGGCTCTCACACTGTGCTTGCATCACAGTGGTATATGCCTGCAGGAGTAGGAAACGTCTTAATTATCAGTGTGTCCCACACAATGAATCACTCAGGACCTGGTGCAGAGTTACAGCCCCTAGGATGCTCACTGAGTAGTCAGAACAAGACACAGGATTGTCTTGCATTTAGCAATGGCCAGAAGTGAGAGGCTGGAACAAGCTGGTCTCATACACCATCCACCCTTCCCACCCACCTCTCAGATATGCCTAAGAGCAGAATCAATTAGAAGTGGGTACACAACAGAAGGCTTTAGTTTTAAAACTATTGCTTCTAATTTGAAAACTGGTTTGTCCTTTTTAAAGACCTTGTCCACTTAAATCTTTCTACAAACCTGGTAGGCAGAAAGACAGGAAATTACTACTATATCCTTGATTTTTAATTTTCAGTACTGCTGTGTGTGTGTGTGTGTGTGTGTGTGTGTGTGTGTGTGTAGAGGGGACCTACAAGACACATGTGTCCTCCTCCAGGCCTCTAGAACCCAGGGCACAGCCAAGTTTGATTTTTAAAAAAGGCTTTTGGTTGGGCATGGTGGCATATGCTTATATTCCCAGCACTCAAGAGGTTGAGGCAGTAGGATACTTGTGAGTTTGACATCAATCTGGGCTATATAGTGAGTTCAAGCCCAGCCCCTGAACTGCATAGCAAGACCCTATCTTAATTTTAAAACAAAAATATGAGTAGACAGAAAGAGGAAGCACAAGCTTTGAGGGCTGGGTGTGGTGGTGCACACTTGTAATCCCAGCACTTAGGAGGCTGAGGCAGGAGGATCTTTGAGTTAGAGGCCAGCCTGGGCTACAAACTGAGTTTATAGTGACTGAACTGCATAACAAAACCCTGTCTCAAAGAGATAAAAACAGAACTCTGAAGTATAATTTGCATACAATTCACCCATTGTTAAGTGTTCAATTCATTTGAACAAATGTATACGGCCACACAATCATCATATGACATACATAGAGAGTTCTCTTGGAATCTGGTTCTGAGTCTCAAGGCCCATATGGATTTGTGCAGTCAACACCACAGATCAGAATTTAGAAGAGTTTGGTTATTCCAGAAAAATGTGTTGGTGCTGGCCCTTGGCAGCCAAACCCTCTCCCTTACACTATATTCCTTAGCATCTCTTATTTGTTTGTTTGTTTTTTGAGGAAGGGTGTTACTATGTAGTTCAGGCAGTTCTTGAATTCACTATGGTGTCCAGGCTGGCCTCAAACTCATGGTGATCCTCCTGCCTCAGTCTTCCAACTGCTGGAATCACCTAGCATGCACCACCACGTCTGGCTCTGATTTATTCTTAACCCTACAGTTGCATGAATTGAGTATTTTAAAAAAAAAATTCAGAAAAGATACTTTAAACATAGTTTTGCAAACAATAATTTACTCTGATTCTGTTATTTGCAGGTTAATTTTATGCCTTCTTTTGGAAAACTTAGCAATAATCTCATTTTTTTTTATTCACAAAGGTGATATCAAGTAAACATTTTCCAATATCACTGAAAAATGAACCACCTTAATTTTGGCATGTTAATCCTAGATAGTTTTAAAATGCCTCTAGAGGCTAGGGATATAGCTCAGTGGCACAAGTGCTGGCCTGAAAAGCACAAGGTTCTGAGTTCAATTCTTAGTATTAAAAAAAAAAATCACTTTTTTAGGGTACAGAGGATCAAACTCAAAACCTCACACTTGCCAGGCAAACACTTGGGCCACTGAGGTATATCCCTACTCACTCCCCTTTTTGGAACATTTTAAAACTACATTTATCAAAAAACAAACAAAAAAAAATCAACATTTTAATCATGAAATCTCTTATAAATAATTTTAAACTACTCTAGTCATTAATGTGAAATTTTTTTTTAAGAAAAACTCAAATAAATTGAGTCTGAGAAATTCAAAGTAATAAGACAGGTAGCTTTGTCATTATCATTTCCTATTTTTTGGTTAGATAAAAAAGAAGAAATTTCAAGTACTTTATTTCAAATTTTCAGTACTCAATTTGGCTTAGAATAAAACTGAGCAGAAGCAGAATGTCTCATTACCACTTTCAGAAAAAATGGTGCTAAAAGCAAGACTATGACTTCCCAATAATGGCAAGGAAGGTGAAAAACGGCAGGAATCCTATCATCTAAGGTCAGTTTAAAGATTCTGTAGTATTCTACCTGGGGCTATAATCATACATGGGAACTCACCACAGGCTTTAGAATCCAAAGCCCAACCCTCCATCCACTAAGTGCTCTGTGATCATGGGCAGAATTACATGACCTCACTCCTCATCTATACAATGGGATTATAACCCAGCTTCTAGCACTGTTGTGAAGGCTAAGTGAGATAATGGACACTCAGCATGCAACTAACAGGTGACAGCAGGAGGTATACAAGTGCTGGGTAAATTTATCACAGTTGGTATCATAAAACTGCTACAGAAATCATGTTTTCTTTAAGAGTTAAAGATGGACACTGGCATCCAGAATATTGGCAAGGTACAAAACTGGAAAAGCATCTGTAAGTAAAAAAAGAACCCTACCAAACCAAGTTATGTGACTACATGCGTAAGTGCTGTGCAATCAGCAGTAAGTATCCTTATTTTGTATGTGACTCTTTTGAATGTACTACTATTCAAATTATTCTTTCATTGGTTTTAAATAAATCACGGTGACCTAATTTACTTTAAATAAAGGAAAAACTATTTTTGTGAAACAAATAATTTTTATTCAAGCTAAACCCAAGTCAGTAGCATCTACTCAAAAGTGCCTAATATACAACAGTTGAAAAATAATGGCTCAGACTATTATCTAGTTCATTTTACCTATGCTAATGTGGCTGTTTTTAATGTCTTTAAGTGGTTACACATACAAACACCAGTTTCTCTCCATGTGCAGTAGCCACTTAAGTTCCTAAGTAAGGGAGCCAGTTCCACTTAGTTGACTACCTGTGAGCAGGGAGCTAGCTGAAGGCGGCTCTTATGGACTGATTCATTCAGTCACAAACATCTTGAGTATCTCTGTGCAGGAGACTGGATTCTCACTGCCAACATGGCATCAATATGATTCTCTACCGAAAAAAAAAAAGTTTTTGTAATATCCTTATCTACACTGTGCCTTTTAAAACATCAATAACCCCTCAAGCTCATGGTCAAATGCCTCCTTCATGTGAAGCCATTTCTGACCCTCTGTCCTTCAAATCTCAACTCCAGTCAGAATTAACCACTCTCTCTTTAATGCTCTCAATACTCTTCAATTAGATTTCCCTATTTATACCGCCACAGGAATTACTACCCTTTCCATCTAAAAACAAGCGATAACACAAAGTGAGAGAAGAGTTAGACTTGGCTAGGTGTTGAAAATAACCAGGTGAACAAAAAACTGGCTTTGTATTAAAAGGAGCTTATGCTTGGTGAGGGAATCAGGCAGACAATGTATTACTTTCAGGAAGCGCAATTCATGCAATATACTACTGATGTGTACAATGCAGGTTAAAAGTATGAAAAGGAGGGAGAGTGATGAGACATAGCCTCAGGGAGGGATACCTGCAGGGCGTGTTGTAGGATGAGCACATACATGTCAGATAGAGAAAGTTAGGCTCCTTCCAGAAGGCATAAATCTCGGTGTAAAGTTTTGGTTATGCAAGATGTAAAGGTTTTAGAGATCTTCTGGTTAATATTATGGTTAGAGCTGTACAAGTAGTTGTACATTGCTACAATTTTGAATATTTAAAAATCTGTTAATACAAAGGTAAAAAATCTCATGTCTTTTTTTTTTACAATTAAAAAAGAAGATTCCCAGGCATTGTGGCACATGCTTGAGTCCCAGCTACTCAGGTGTCTGAGGCAGGAAAATTAATTGAGCCCAGAAGTTCAAGACCAGCCTGGGAAACAGAGTAAGACTCCATCTCTTAAAAAAAAAAAAAAAAAAAGGCATGAAACAGGATGGCCTTTGTGCAAGGGAACCTGCCTAAGGAGGCAGGCACATATTGACATTGGGTTGATGGGTAAAACAGAGAGGAAAGAGAGGCTGGAGAATGGGTAAAGGGTGAGATCAGAATATGCCTTGGACACTAGGTTTAAGTTTTTAATTTCTTAGGCAGTGAGAAGCCATAGAGAAATAAGATCATCATGCTGCATTTTGGAATAAGATCAGGTAGCAGCATAGAACACAAATGGGCTCAGGTAAGCATGAGGACTGATAAACTGATGCAGTCTAGCCGAGACCAAAAGACCTGCCTAAAGCAATGGTGCAAGGGCAGGACTGCCTCCTGAAACACTTAACACTATATGGAGTTATTCGGTTAATTCATCTGTTTATTTCCCCACCAAAATGTAACTTTTACCTCAGGGACTGTGTCTTGTTCACAATTTTATTCTCACTTCTAGAATACAGCCTTGTATATAGTAGAGGCTCAGTCGATACCTGCTAATTCACTGAACAAATCCCTGAAGGGCAAGAACCCTGGCTAACTCTTATGTGTATTCCTCAATACTTTCATAGGATGTTAAACATAAAAGAGGCCCAAAAATATTTGTTGATGTATTTTTAAAAAGCCTATGTCCTGCCAGGCACGGTGGCATACACTTGTAATCCTAGCACTCAGGAGAGTGAGGCAAGAGTACTGCTGTGAGTTCAAGGTCAGCTTGATGGACTACATAGTGAATTCAAGGGCAACCTGATTGGCACAGTGAGACACTCTCTCTCAGAAAAGGCCGATGTCCTGACATTTTTGAAATAATAATAAATTTTCTTGATGTAAAGTCTGAAAAGAGAATTTTCCCTTGTACAACCCATCTAGATATCTAGCAATCCAGCTGGGTCCTTTTCTGCTTTGTAAGTCACTGCTGGGAATAAAGCCCTGACAATCAGAGCCAAGCTGCTGGTTTGCTGACAATGGTCGGGAAAGCCAGCAACATTATGGTCCTCCTATGTTGCTGTAACAGTATCCATTCATATGGTAACACATCACTCCTTTCCTAGCTGCTGAGGTCACTTTTGGAAGTAAGTCAGCAGTCTGATGCTTCTTCATACTAACCTACAACCAGTAACTCTGGTAGAGGAAGAATAGAGAATTTAATTTCTCTTTATATGAAGAACCAGTAAAAGGACAGTTTAATATTCCTCTGAAGTAGATTACACAAAGTGTAGGCATCAGCTGATTCATTCCTATGGTCTCCCACAAGTCCTTCAACTGCTAGTTTCTAGTCAGCTGCCAACTCATAGGACTTTTCAAACAACACATTAGAATGGTTTCAGAAGACCATTCTGTACTTCTAAGAAACTGGGCCCGGATAGTGTCTCCACCAATGTCAATCAGGAGTTCTTTCTGGAACATCCACTATATCTGGCACACTGGAGCATAAGCACAAGCACAAATCCTGACTTCTGCTGTGTGGTCTTTTCTTTTTTGCTGTGTGGTCTTTAATGATTTAACCTTTCTCAGTCTTCTCATAATCTTCTCTGCCTTACAGAGTTCCAAAGAGACTAAATGAGGGAACACATAACGTGATAAACATGGTGTCTAGTACCCAAAGGTATTTAATGAATGTTAGTTTCTTCCTTTACCCCAAACGAGAGAGGGAAGTAAGTGAGGAGCCAGATTGCATGAAGCAGGCCTCAAGGGGGTCTCATGTACAGGGAGAATAAAGCAGTTTATAGGAGAAAAGATACAGAAAGAAATAGCTAATTGCTTCTGCCTCTTCTGTACTTGAGAAAGTTACAAAATGTGAGTGACAAGAAGCTGTCTCAAGTACAAAAAGGGGAAACTAATCTGTTTGCAAAGGGAAGAAGAACAGGATGAAGATTATAAATTGTTTGAAGATTCTTCACTAATTACCATTCTTAATGAAAATTTAATTCCAAGTTAAAAGCAAATTTCACTTTTTCTGTCAGAGAATCTCTGCAGAAACTGGCACATTTTTTTTGGACAGGAAATCGAAGTTATTTTAATGCTTAAATGAGATCTAAGAAGCTGCAGATGTTTCACTGGGAATAACAAGTTTCAAAACTCTGCCCTATTGGGTTGCAGCAACTCATGGCGACAGTGAGAAAGAAAAACTGTTTTGAGTTGATGCTGTAGTTTGGATAGTTTCTCCATGAAGGGTTCATGTGTTAGAAGCTTGGTCCCCAGCGCAGCGATATTGAGAGGTTGACCAGTAGGAGGTTCTTCGGTTACTGGCGCAGTGCCTTGGGAAAGGCATTAATATATTGCTGCCAGCTTAACTACCAGTGCTACATGCATGACTGTTCCATTAAGCAGCTTGTACCACTGCTGGAACAAACAGACCTAACTGCTTTAATGTCTTTTTACTAATAAGATTAATCAGGGCAGGGGATTTAGCTCAGCGGCATAAGCACCTGCCTGGCAAGCACAAGGTTGTGAGTTCGATCCCTGGTACCAAAACAAAACAAAACTAGTAAGATTGGCCTAGGGACTTAGCTCAGTGGCAGAAGTTGGCAAGTGTGAGGTTGTGAGTTTGATTCTTAGTACAAAAAAAAAAACAAAACCTAATAAAATTAATCAAAAGCTGTCCAATGGGACAATCACACATGTGCCACTGGTGGTTCAAGCTTTCCAGCAGTGAGATATATGAATTATGGCCTTATTGTGAATGCATTAATGTAGTTTTTGTGAGAGTTTTGGGTTAGTTCTCAGGAGAGGATTTTTATAAATGAACAAGGTAGCCATGACCTGCACTCCCTGGTTTTCTGTCTAGGTGGAATCTCTTCCCCCATTAAGTGTTCTCACCACGTGATCTGCGGTTAGGCCCTCATCAAAAGCCAAACCAATGAGCTATCTGATTGAGGACTTTTAGCTTCCAAAACTGTGAGCTAAATAAACCTCTTTTTTTTTTTCATAAATAGCCTGCTTCAGGTGTTTCATTATAGTAATGAAAAACTGACCAATACAACTGAATAACCTAAAGACGTGAAGGGGATTCAAATTTCAAACACTCCACTGCTAGACCCTCTGAGGGTGAGGTGGAGAAAGTGTCACAGAAAGAGGATCTCTGTTTTTTTTTTTTTTTTGTCTTTTTCATTTTTACTGGTACCAGGGATCGAACTCATGACTGCCTGCTTGCAAGGAAGGTGCTTATGCCGCTGAGCTAAATCCCCAGCCCCCGAGAGGATCTCTGTTATAGAGGAACTTACAATAGAGTAGGAGACAGAAAATTAGGAAACATCTTAAGGTTAGTAACTGAAATGAAGAAACCTTTAGGGTTATGTTAGAATAGCACAAGCAAAAAGGTAACCCTTCTGAAAGGCTTTCATACCCTTGCTTCATTTGGACCCACCCACAGTCAGGAAACTGTTCTCACCTGTAAGGTGCTGGTGAGGAAGTTGTCTTGGGAGACTATGTCCACAAAGAAGTCAGCTGGGATCTCACCAAGCTGGTGGTACAGGATGGAGATGAGGTTGATGTAAAGGGTGTGGTGCTTCACCATGGCTGCTTCTGACCGGCATAGAAGATTCAGGAGCTGCTTCCAGTGCTCAAATGCCTCATATACATTGCCCAGTAAGAAACACACAAAGGCAAATTGGAGTTCACCTGAAAATGCAGGGAGGAGAAGTGATCATAAGGGTGAGAAGACAATACCAGTGGACTTTACCTGACATTTTTCCCAGTCATCAGTTTCACTGACCTCAGAAACAGGGGCCTTTTATCTGTTTTTCCAGGAGACCCTAAAATGGGATTTTGCATCTAGCAGGTGTTCAACAAGTGTTTGCTTAAGGGCTGTAAATTCAAGCCAGAGAGACCAAACAATGGCTTTGAATTCTGCAAAAGGAAGGCATCAAGAAAACAGATATATCTAGGTCTAGTGTTCATTTTAAAAGTTTACAGAATGTGTTTATTGATAAGCCCAGTGGACCCCAACACTGGCTGCCCACCAGAATTACTAGAAGTGCTTGTTAAAAGCAAAGCTGTCTAAGCCTCACAGTCAGGGATTTTAGATGAGGAGCACTAATAGTTATAGGTTTCTTTAACAGCTTCTCAGGTGATTCTCATGCAAAAGACTGCTCTAAAGTCAGGGAAATATTGCATTACACATTGTTCTCTGTTCAAATTTGCAAAGTCATCAAGGATGGGAGTATTTCCCAATTTCACAGATGAGGTCGTGGGCTTACTCAAGATGGTATATCTAAGTCTTTCACAATGTGAACAACAGAAAAATAAAATAGATTCCTTACTGGGTAGGAACACTTCTACAGCTTCTCCAAACAGGAAAACTCATGAGTAATTACTTTAGGGCTATCCTGCCACCCAGCTTATTTTAGTTTATTTAATCAGAGTTCTGTGATTTAATCTCTATAAGCAGCTTGACAGTTAACAGCATGGGTCTGGAGCCAAACTGCCTGGATTCAAATCTTAGCTCTACGATTTAGCAACTGTGTGACCTTAGGCAAGTTACTTTATTTATATCTCAATTTCCTTATATGAGTTATAGTAAAGATTAAATGAATTGATATGATACATGCAAAACATTTAGAACACTCAGCACAAAGCAGCACTCAAAATATTACTAACTATTCCCAATTTCCACTGGATGCTTGTCTCAAATAAAGACTGATGATCCACAAGCCACCACCTACGGGCATCAACTGTGTGCCACGGACATCCTCCCTGGCTTCAAAGGTGGCCATAAACATAACAAAGTATACATACAAGTGAGCCTTAAAAGAACAAATTAGCACACCACCAAATACCTCCAAATACCTGCATGGCAGTTGATGAGACCTCCAGATACACAGAAAAACTAGCCTGTTCCAAGCTTGTGGAACCAAGACTGATTTGTGTGAATAGTTGCCTAGTCTAGATATTTTGGATGATTGACCAAAATTTCAAAGTACAGTCAAATGTTCTTTGTATAATAATTCACTTCTCCAGTTGGCAGTTACCTGGTTAGTTTGCAAAACTAAATATTATTCTGTTTTTTGCATTTGGGCTACCTACACTTTTGTTTCTGTTATGGTTTGGACTCTGAATGCCCCCAAAGCTCGGGTACTGAAGGTATGATCCTAGTTAAGGGGACTACTGGGAGGTGATGAAACTGTATAAGGTGGGAGCCAGTTGGGGAAGTTACTGTTACTGAGGGTGTACACCTGAAGGGTCTATTGGGACTTCCTCCCCTCTCTTTGCTTCCTGACTGCCATGAGGGAAATAGCTTCACTCCATGACATGCTGCCTGCCACAGTATTCTGCCTATCATAGGCTTAGAAAAAAATGAAGCCAAGTGATCATGAACTGAAATCTCTGAAAACATGAGCCAAAAAACAAATGAAAAAACTATTTCTTTAAACTGATCTTCTCTGGTATTTTGCCATAGTAATGGAAAGCTGAGAACACATCAACTTTTTCTAAAATTGAAATCACAAGATATATTTTGAATAACTGAAATATTTAAGAGTTAGAAAAAAGGATTTTATTCATTCCTGTCATAATTTCAAGTGTCACTTATATCAAAATATGTATTATTAATGCACTGTGACACCCATTAAAATGTCCCTTATATCAGCTGAGTTAATCATATAAAAGCCCTATATTCAAATATTCCCACAATCTTCCAATATGAAAATATGCAAATTACCTGTATAGTTTGTAAAAGAATGTGTATAAACAGCTATTAAAGACATGACAAATGTTTGTGGTTACTAGTACTGAAGAAACAGAAATGAGATGCCAATTTTCAGCATTCAATTGGAAAAGACCTTTACTAAAACACAATGCTTAGTGCTATCAAAGTGATAGGCAACAGCCTCCTAATAGCAACAAGGATATAAAACTGTCTCCCAACAATATACACTGATGCAACAATTGTAACTCTAAATGTACATGTGAGTATAGTGCACACAGGATGTTCAGGAGACCATATTTATAAAAGAAGGAAAAAAAGAGACACCTTGTATGTTCATCAACAGAGAACTGGTACAGTAACTATGGGGCACCAAATGGTCACCAAAAAGGGATGACTGAGAAAACTTTTATATTTGATCAGATTGAAAGTAATGCATTTTAATACTGTATAAAAGTCATACATAGCTGGATGTGGTGGTGCATGCCTGTAATCCCAGCACTTGGGAAGCTGATGCAGGAGGATTATTGTGAGTTCAAGGTTGCGTAAGCTACAGAGTGAGTTCAAGACCGGCCTTAACTATATAGACTCTGTCTCAAAAAGAAGTCATATATACAGTATACCTAAACATATAAATGAATTTTTAAAATACTAAAATATATACAAGAGAAAAGAATAAAATGAGATACAGAAAATATATAGAGTAAAAAGGAAAGTAAATACACCAAAATGGCCAGGTGAGGTAGCACAGGCCTATAATCTCAATACTTGGGAAGCTGAGGCAGAAGGATCCCTGTGAGTCTGAAGCCACCTTGAACTGCATCGTGAGATGTATGTACCCAAGATGTATCCCTTATTCTATAATACCCTACTAGAAAAAGAGGAGGAGGAGGAGGAGGAGAACCCCAACAACAATAACAACAACAAAAGAAAACACTACTCAAATCATCCCTCTGGCCCACTCCCAAAGAGCCCCATTTCTTCTCACCAAGCACATCCTGGGGGTTGGTGGGGAACTGCTTGCTGAGCATAGTCTCCAGTGCATAGCTCAAGTCCATGCTGTGCCTTGTTATCTCTGCTGGTGTGGCACCTACTGGGAACATCTGTGTGGGTAGCTCTGAGAAGCGGATCTCTGTGCCAGCTCTTGGCTTCATCTCAGGCAGCCGGGCTAGACCCTCTTGATAACTTTTGCACTCGGTGCCACATCGGGGTAGATTCTGCCCTACCCGGTCCTTGGTGTGCTTCATGGAGAGTACAGGCAGCACATCTGAGAAAGCACAGATCTGCCGGCTTTCAGGCTGCAGTCTCTCCATTGTGGCCTCACTGACAAAGCTGGTGAGTGAGATCCATTTCTTGAGCGTGGCATATGGGTAAGGTCCCAGAAACTGGTCCAGCTCCTGGAGATTGGCCCTCATGGCTTCCACTTCAGCCTTTGGGGCTGGGGACAAGTCTACCTCTTCCTGAAGAGCATTCCAGCGCAAGACTGTCAGCCCCCGCTGCTGCAAGCTAAGGAAGAAGCCCATACGAGGACCCACATCTCTGGGATTGGCTTTGTCCACGGAACTATAGTGAAGAAAGTGAACGCCTGGTGGGATCATCTTCACACCCCGGAACTTGGGTCCTACCTCCCAGGAGTTATAGTCAATGCCAAACTCGGTTCCCTTGGGCATATTCAGGATGACCACAGTGGCCCCTTCAAAGAAGAGTTGCTTGGCTAGGTCAGGATCCATGTGCATCGCAGCCATGGGGCCACAAGAACCCTTCTTGTTTTCTGACAAAATTGAAAAAGAAAGAAATGAGTTAATCAGAAGCTGAGCATGGTGGTACATACTTGTAATTCTAACACTTTAAGAGGCTCAGCAGGAAAAATTCAATTCTAGCCCAGCCTGGTGACTCAAGACACCTTGTCTCAAAAAAACAAAACAGGCTGGGTGTGGGGGACACATTGGTAATCCCACCACTCGGAAGGTTGAGGTGGGTGGGAGGACTGCTGTGAGTTTGAGGTCAGCTTGGGCTACAAAGTCAGTTCTAGGCCAGCCTGAACTGCATAGTGAGACCCTGTCTCAAAAAACAAAACAAAACACCAAAATCACACACAAAAAAGCAAAGAAACCAAACAAAAGCAAACAAACAAACATGCTCATCCTGGGCTCAATAAATAAATGAATAAATAAAAAAAATAAAATAAAATCAGAACTTGTGGAAGGCTGCTGCATTTCCTGAGCACTCTCTATGTGTCAGATATTGAATCAGGCTCCCTGACCTTTATTATCCCCCTTAATCCTCATGACAATCTTGCATCTGTTTTATAAATGAGAGTTAGAGAAAAGAGGAGTTTTGTGTTTTGATTTAAGGAACAAGAACACTCACTTAACAGCTAGAAACATACCAGTTAAACAAAAGTGATAAGCACATAGTCACACAAGACCCAAATTCAGTCTGTGTTCCCGTTCCTGCATGTGTGTTCCTTCCATTGTTCGTTCTTAGGTTTCACTCCCAGATGTTTCTCACAAGAGGACAAGGACAGAAAAAGTCTGCATGGTTCATTCTAAATGATAACTATGCCAAAATCATCTAAAGCTACAATTCTGCCCAAAACCTATCACTGGAGAGTCCTGGAAATTTTGGGAAGGATGATTAACTCAAATATATATCCAATTTTCCATCAGCTTCTAAAATTTACACAAAGTTTGAGGAATGGAAAGCTTTTCAACCACAATTCTCCCTTCACCTACAAAAAACAGCCTCCAGACATGAAACAGCTTCCCAAATAGCCACAGTCACTGGCAGGTGTGGACCGACCAGCTCTGGAATGAACTCCTGCCAGGGCTGACCTAGGATCAGTATTTAAAGGAGAAAGACCTTAGAACAGCTATTGCCTCTCAATTAAGGAAGAAACCCTGATAACCTCTGCAAGCAGACACTGCCTCAGTGGTATTTGTAAGAATGGTTATAACACGCGCTCATTTAAACCAATCAATGTCCTCACCTTGTTCTTAATCACCTGTTTATTCAATTCCACAAATATTGAGTCTGCCACAATCTTTGCTGGTTCTCAAAAGAAATATCCAGCCAGGAATGGTGGCACACATCTCAGGAGGCTGAGGCAGGATTACTGAACTACATTGCAAAATTCTATCAAAAAGACAAAAAAAAAAAAAAAAGAAAGAAAGAAAGAAAGAAAGAAAAGAAAAATCTACAGAGTGAGACAGTTACTGTCCTCCAGACACTTTCAACCTAGCTATATAAATTTTACAAACCGAATAGCCAACTGTTTAATTCTGTTTACTCTTCTTAAAAAACTAAACTGTGGAAAGACATACTTTTTCAAAAATGTTAGGAGAATATTTTATCATTTTTAGCTATTAATCACAAGTGATTCCCTAAATTAAACTCAAATTATAACTTATTTATGGATTAAGGAATCAATTTAGAAGGTTCTGCCAGGACTTTTTACACAAAAATAATGTAATTTAAAAATATCAGAATGCATTGCAAATAATAAGGATTTCTGTTGTTGTTTTTGTTTTTGTGGCACTAAGATTTGAACCAGGACCTTATACATGCTAAGTAAGTGCTCTACCCCTGGGCTACAGTACCATCTCAGGGAAAAACATAATTTTCTGAAACTCTGTGTGTTTGTATGCACATCTAGTCATAATATAAAATGCATGTTACCACAGATAATCGTTAAAAAAATTTGAAAGACACTAATCTGTATTTTCTATTGGGAGGTAGGAAGAACATGTTCAAATAGGAAAGAGAACAAGGGAGGAGGGAAGGAACAAAGGGAAAAGGGGAAAAAGAGAATGGAAGGAAAAAATGTAAACACAGCTTGTGTAAATGCAGTGGGGAAGAACACCTGAAGGGGAGGGGTATGGGGGGAAAAAGGGATTAAGATATTTTATGGATACATGCAAATTTCCTACAGTGAATGTGATCAATATGTATGACAAAGGTGTACTAATAAAAAATTAATTAAATACTTGTATTTTCTTCCTATACATAACCTGGAACTCAAACAGTACTTAGTAAATATTTGCTAACTGAACAAAAGTTCCATATAGAATAACTGCTCATCAATTAGCTGTCTTCCCGGTGGCATCTGTGTGCTGCTCTTCGATAATTAATTCTAACTCTACCACCCTTCTTTTCATTATATAATCAGTAGTTAGTACACAGCCTGGCACTAGAAAAGGCTGGAAAAAGGTTTACTAAATGTATATAAGACTCTGCCCAGTACCAATCTGCCTCACCTACGGATCTGTGAATTTCTCACAGTCCTGGAATGCAGAAGGTCACTTCTTAATCACACTATCCTCCACCTCCATACCCAAACTGCTATCATCCATCACACAGGAAGTGCTGGTCTCAGGTAGGGACACAGATCTGTGACAAAATGCCTGTCTGGCAAGCGCAAGGCCGTGAATTCGATCTCCAGTCCTTCAGGCTTGTTTCTTAGGATGCTTCCCCACCCGCAAGCTCTTCTCTTAGGCCCTCAAATTGGAGAGAACTCTTCCCACCACAATCTGTTAAATCATTTTTCTGGATCTCACCTCAATATTCACCTTCCCAATAAAACTTCCTTAAACCCAAGCGTGATACACTCAGAGTGTGTACCTGTTACGTTCCCACTTTAATTTACACGGTTACAATTTTGCATGTTTGATTGAAATTTGTCATCAAGAAATTGGAGTACTTCTGTACTCCAAGCACGTATCAGACGCTTAGTAAACAGTTAATAAAAATATAATATGCATTTTGTAGATGAGAAACAAAGGCTTGGGATAAGACAAGTCCCTCAGAGAGTAAGGGCCCGCGCTCTACAATTTTGGGAGGGAGAGAGGAAGCGCATACTACTCCGTGTGCCCCGCGAAGCGCTGGTGGCAATGTCTGGTGAATTTTTTCTCCCTCAGAGAGAAAAGGCTCCAGACACACCGGTGTTCCACTACCAGACCCCAGAACCATATGCTGCCGTCCCAGGGCTTAGTTCAGGGCACTCCGCAATTCCAAACCAAGAAGAGGGAGGCCGCACACGCACACGCACACCGCACACACAAACAAAAGCAGAGGAGAAATAAGAGGCCAGGAGGCCGTCCTCACCTTCTTGCGCTTTACCAGCTTACCGCGGAAGCGGAACGGAAGTTCTGCCCGTTCCGTGCCGGAAGGGGCAACAGAGAAAGAGCTCCGGCGGAGACCTCGGTCGTGGAAGGAAAGGTCCGAGCCTACCGGTCCCTCTGGGTCATTTTTCTACTACTAGTTTCACATCTGACTTCCTGAATTATGGGCAAAAACTTTAATAAAACTATCCTTTTTATTGTCCCTTCCAGAAACGTATTTACTAGCCATAGTCTTTTGGTCCCCAACAATCATAGGTCACTGAAGCATGGTACACTTCATGACTACTCAATACCCACAGCCAGGCTCTTAGTCTTGGTCCTCCTCAGCCAATCTCTGTCTGAATCACAGTGACAGAGCTGCCCCATTATCACCAAATCGTAGGTTTCTAATCACACTCAAGTCTTGGCGAAAGCCTCCGATACCCGGTCCTCATCCCAGAGAGGACCAGAGGATCTCAACAGCAATGGTATCACTTCCTCTGGCCTTGATCACCCATGTGCCCTTTCTAATATACCTGAGGCGGCGGTGGTGGTGGAACTGCTTGATTTATTCCTGTTTCCCTGGAACCTAGCATAAAACCGTTTCAGGGTATATGTTAGGCATTCAATTAGTAGTAGCAATACGGTATTCACAAATAGCTTCAAATTGTGGGCTTAGCCCTGTCCTATGTGGTTGTATTATTGACAGCTACATTTAGATAGAAATTAATATACAGTCAGAAAGGGATTGGGCTGTCAAGGAAGTCATCAGGAAAAAATGAAGACATCAGAATTTTGGCTAGAAGCACATCTAAAAACAAATTTCAGTACAATGGTCAGCCCTACATGCCTCCCCTAAGGAATAACCAATAACTTGAAATTATACTATAATTAATATCACCTGGTCCAGCAAAGTCCAACTAGACATCAGCTGCCCAACTAGGTGACCAGAGAATCTGGTCCCATCCCTTCCCAAAATGCTTCCTTATTGGGCCAATATTAGCTAAGCAGCTAATCCTATAGGTTGACCCACATTGTACCCATCTGCTGATTTTGCTCTATAAAATTGTCTCAGAGTAGTGGCCTATGGCAACCCACTTTCAGGTCCCCTCCTGTTTCGCAGGAGCCACATCTCTCAACAAACTTTTCTTATTCTTAACCTGTTGTTCCTTAGAATTCATTCTTCAGTTTTGGAGAACATGAACTTGGCATATCTAACAGGTTGGGAGTTACACATTTTCCCCTAAATCAGTTGTATCAGTCAGGATACCAAAGAAGCAGAGCCAGTAGAGATATATATTAAATAATTTATTTCAGGGAATTATCTCATGTGGTTCTGAGAATTGCTCATGAAACCAAGAAGTTGAGATGGATCTTTAAAGATTAGGATTTTTGAAGCTAAGCATGGTAGCACATGCCTATAATCCCAGCACTTATGAGGCTGAGGCAGGAGGATTGTCACAAGTTCAAGGTCAGCCTGGGCTACATAGTGAATTTGAGGCCTACCTGCACAACAAAGCAAGACCCTCAAAACAATAAAACAAAATGGAAAGTGTGGTATATGTACCTCAGGTAATCCAAAGAATGAATTTAGGTTTGACATCGATTATGGTTAATTTTCACATTTTTGCATTTATTTTTATAAAGACTCTTGGGAAATGATACTTTTCACATATGAAAACATCATAGTTTCTTTCTCAATTTTTCTAAACAGTCAATTTTAAGATAAATTAATAGAGATGATATGAAATTAATAATGAGATGAAGCAACATATATAAAGGTTGTGGGCAAAGACTCAGGCTGGAGATTGCTATAGATATGATCCTCTAGGGCAGTCATGGTGAACATTTTAGAGCTTTTGGTAACAGCTGGCTGGGGCACATGTGCCATAGGTTTGCCGCTACAGCACTAGGGGGTTTCAGGGAGATCCAATGCATGTGCTCTTCTTTCAGGAACAGGAGGGACCTCGTTTCTCCACATACTATGACCCTCCATGTCTACTGTACTTTGTCTGGAATATTTTCACCTACATTTTTCTCCTTACTTGAGCTTTCTCTTTATTCAGTTCAAAAACCAACTCCTTAGGGAAGCCCTAACTAGCCTCCTATTTGTTTTGGTGTTAGTGAGGCTCAAACTCAGGGCTAAGCATGCACTGTACCACTAAACTATCTGTAGCCTGGCTACCTTGTTCAAATTGAGATCCTTCAGCGGCCCTCCATCCCCTTCTCCTGTATATTTCCTTTCTGGTGCTGATCACTGTGTAATTGTCTTTGACCACTAGCCTGTGAGCTTCTGGATAGCAAAGACTTTGCCTTGTTTGCTGTGGCACCTGCAGAGCCTATAGCAAGACCTGAGCCACACTGGGAGCTCCGGACACGTGTTGAATAAAAGTGTTCTGAGTTGAGATGTCTCCACTCCAGTGTCAGCCTGTCCCACAGTGCCAACCTGTACCAGTGCCAAAGACAGGAGGGGGAGAGAGGGAAGCCAAGGAAGTCTGTGGTTCAGCATCAAACACATTTATTTCACTTTTATTGAGTATACAAGAACAGAGAGCACACGCATACAGCACAGAGCACTGAGGTGGGGGGAGCATGGGGACAAGAGAAGAGAAAGCGGTGTAAGTAAAAAGGAACAGGACAGCATTGCAGTTGTTTGGTAAGGTGCTTTTGAAAAAAATTAGAGTGATGTTGCTCATGCAATTTCAGGCCAGTCTTGAAATGTGCTTGCAGGATTCAAAAACAGAAACAGGTCTTGGCACTTCCTGTACTCTCAGATGGAAAAGATCCAGAAAAAGCAAAATGAGAACAAATAAAGGTCTGTAAGATGGTGGAGTGGAAAAAAACCCTGAAGAGCTTCCAGTTTACATCACTCACTTTGCAAGTGGGAAAACTGAGGCTCCAAAAGGGAACGTGGCTAGCCCAGTGTCACACGGTGAGTTAGGGGCTGAGCCAGGATGGCCACTAAAAATCCTGACTGCTCTCTGGGACCTTTCCCACTATACTACCTGGCCTCTTGGATGGAGAGGTGGCACACAGAGGATGAGAAAGTGTCAAAAAGCAAAAAAGGAAAATAGGTTGAAGACAGATGAGACAAACAGTTCTATTTTCTGTGGAGAGGAGGAGGGGGAAGAAACATTGTCCTAGATTTCAGCTTTGCAGTCCCCTCCTCCCTGGTGGTGCTGCTGCCTCTCTGTGGAAGGATGGGATGGGGACCTCCCTACACTCAGGTGGCCCGCGAGATAAGCTTGGTCACTTCAATTCCACCTTGTCAGCAGGCAGAAACCCCAAAGCAAGAGTCGCCCTCTGAGGTGTGTCTAGAATGCTTGGGACACCTGGTTCCTGCAAAGGCAGGAGGACCTGAGCTGAATTCCGAGTGGCCCAGAGGAAGTAGAGCCACTCCAGCTCCTGGCACAGAAAAAGTGGGAGGTCTCCAGTTGAGAAAGGCAGAAAGGAGGCTTTTGGCTTCTCCACCAGGAGTGTGCTGCTGCCCTTGGGGAGTGCAGGGGGTCTGCTGACCTGCGCTGAGGGGACACGGCTGACTCTGCCATCTGAGAGCCTCATTCTACTTCCCATTTGCCTGCAGAGACAGCAGAGACAGACGCTTTTCTAGTTTCTTGCCCTGCTTCAAGCCAACACCAGCTAAGCAGCCAGGTTATGCCACGTGGGTAACTGTCTAACAAGTCAAAGGGGTGCACATAGCCTGGGCCCTCTGAGGGACATCCCTAGGCAGTAAGCTGGAGGGAGCGGGAAATGCGCTCAGATGGGCCAGCCATGGTTGGGAATTTAAGGCTGGTCAGGGGCGTCCTGGGTCTCTCCTCTCTTCACAATTCCTTCTTCAGCCTGATAACAGTGCCTGGCATGAGTGGGTACTCAATAAATATTTCTTGAATAAGTTTATCAATTGAGAGGTGAAAAGAGGCTGAAAAATTTAAGCACTGTAGGACATTTTCCCTTAGGAAGGGACACTTCCTGAGCTCAGGGAAGTGGCTTGTGGCAAGTAAGCCTGAGGAAGCTCACATGTGCCAGAGGGCAATGCCAAGCAAGTGACAAGTTTTCTCCAAGAGCTCCTGAGGACTTTTGAGGCAACTTTGGGGACTCCGAGAACACAAGCTCCAAGCTCAAAGGCTGACGAAAGGGGGGCTCTCCCAAATCAGGGTCTTTTACAAAGACAGAGCCTTTGGGCAACACTGCCTTCCCCTTCTAATATCCTAGGGAAGGTAAAGCCTTTGGAAATGCAGTTTTCATCTTTCAGGAGCTGACCTGGGTTCACAGCCTTTTTGGCCCAGAAACAAGAGAATGATTCAGAATATGGAAGAGGAGGGGAGGACTGAGCTGGCCATTTTCAAAGAGCCAGATTAAAGCCACTACCTTCTACCTTGGCCAGGGCACCATCTCTCTTTGGGGATGGAGCTACTTATGATCAGGGAATGGCGATGTGGTCAGAGAAGGGCAAGACATGGCAGAAGAAATAAAGTAAAATAAAACAAAGAAAGAGAAGACTGAAAACCAAGGCAAGCCCCCTAGGGAGGTAGGAGGACTGAGCTAGGGGACCTCTACTGTGGAGACTCAGCAGCAGAGTCCTGACTCTGGACCCCATGTTCAAGCACAGACCAGGCCTGGCTGCTACTGCTGGAGGAGAAGGCATCTTGGACCAGTATGTTCAGGACTATATCTGTGTTGCTCCCTCTTGCCGAACCCCTGCCTTCACTGGGAGGGCCCCACTCTCCCCACCAACCACCCAATTACAAACACCACACACAGTATTACTACACTGAACCCATCAGCCCTACTAGGAGCCAGCCACACCCAGAGTTCAGGTCTCCTCAGCTGGGCCAGGTCAGCAAGATCTAGGAACCTTGGGATACATCAATCACAGTCTGATAATTATAATTTTAAAATGTCAGCTTCATACTTACCAGCACTGTTTATTTTAATATTTGTTTCCTGTTATATGTAATATACATAACTTAAAAGCACATCCATACAAATCTCCTACGAGCTGCACCTTCATCATGAGAAACCAGATACAACGTCTACTTCCCTGCCTGTGGCTTTGTTTTCTGTTCCTGCTTTCTTTTCTTTTTCTCAGTTCAAATAAGAGTCA